GCCTGTCTAACACAAGTTCTGCTTAATTGGTATTCTAATAAAAGAAGTATAAAAAATTCCCGCGTGGCACACGAGTGAGAAGAAAGAAGAAGTTCTGAAGTTTCACTACATGGTGCATCGGCACGATTAAGGATTCAGGTCGGTTTTAACTGCAATTCAGTCTGATTTTTTCTTACTTTTACTTCCACAAGTTTTCCTTTTTTTTCGAAAACAAGTGGGGTGAATCAATATTCGCTTCTCCTATCCAAGGGAAGGGTTCAGGCACCAATCAATATTCTCTGTGACAAGTGGGCACCAGCAGGGTCTGAGGTACCGGGTATCCCAAGTTTAGGCATCATGTCGTACAAGTTAGCGACTCCTAAACGTCGTGTCACGTACTATACTGGCAAATTAGAAACACTTATAACTCGTTTCAAGGCTGAAGGGTTAGAATCAGTCAAATTTCCTGAGGCAGACGGGGAACTTTCACACGTATCCGCGCGGAGTAGTCTCCAACGACTCGAAGAAGGAGTTGGAGCCATTGAAACGACAACATCAAAAATCGAGGAGAAGCTGAAGGATTATGCCGAAGAAATGGACAACTTGGTAGAACCCAGTCCGAAGGATATAGAAGATTTTGAAGGCTACTCATCGAGGGCGGAAAACGCAATAAGCATGGCCTTCGACTACACTTTACAACTCCGAGCGCGCATACAAGTCTTCCACTCCTACGATCGTCGTACGCAAGCTTCACAGAATCTTCTTACAAGAGGGAACGTAGAACGCGCCTCGAATGAGCCACCATCTTCACGTCTAACGCCGAAATCACTAGAGCTTCCCACACTTCCCATCCCAATTTTCAACGGAAACATATGGGAATGGGACAATTTCTGGGAGCTATTCAATTCCAACGTCCATTCACAGGAGCTTTCGGAACTCCACAAGTTTAATTACCTCCTAAACGCCCTCAGAGGGGAAGCTTTGGAGTCGGTGAAGAAATTCCAAGTAACAAGTGGAAACTACGAAAAAGCAGTAGACTTCTTGAAAAAGAAGTATGGAAGCTCCGAAGAGCTGGTATTTCGTCTCATGGACCAGCTGGATAACTGTTCTCTTCGTTCATCCCACATACATGATCAGCGACGACTGTTCGAACAGCTCCAAGTTATAATCGCACAAGTCACGCAGAAGGATGAAAATGTAAATAGCCAATGGCTAATTAGAAGGGTATTGTCCAAGTTCCCTAGCCACATTCAGCGACAAGTCCTTTTGAAAAAGCAAGCCACTTTGAAGGACGTTAACTTCACTATGAGTCACCTTCTGCAAATTCTAGAAGACGTCATTACAAGTGAGGAAATGGTTTCTCACTACATAAAGACCGAGTCCCCTTCTTATGCACTAGGGAAGGAAGACAAGCCAAAGCCGCCAAAAATTGCTTCAAGGCAGTCCTGCATGTACTGCGAAGGAAGTCACAAGTCATTCGATTGTGACAAGTACGCAACACCGCAGGAACGGTCACATTACCTACGAGAACACAAGTTGTGCTTGATATGCGCATCACCACGGCATATCACGTCTGAATGCAGGAAACGCCCCTGTTTCAAATGTCAGAAACAGCACCACACTTCATGCTGTTTCCAAGCGGAAAAAGGTGCCAAAGCATCACCAATTCAAAAAATGGCATTCGAATCCAAAGACAACAGCAAGGTTAAAGAGAGCCCAAACAGAAGCAAAGAAAGTAATGTCATCAATTCGAGGATGAAAGTGAACTACCTCAGCCATGACTCGAATTCTATGGCTCCAAAAGGACAAACAGTCCTTGAAATTCTACCAGGAAGAGAACAACCAACGGTACAGTCCACCTTTTTACCCACGGGCGAAATCACGGCTATGGATCCGACCACGAAGAACTTGAGAAAAATCTCAGTCCTTCTAGATACAGGCGCTGAGATCTCCTTCATAGATACAGCCTTAGCAGCAGAACTGCATCTACCCTCAATCAAGGATACACGGCTACGTCTTCACACCTTTGGGTCGGACCAGGTACACGAGACATTATCACGTGAAGTCTCGCTACAAGCATGGGATGCAGAGGGACGTCCACTCACACTCTCTCTATACACTCACGAGATCTTGACCAAGCCGTTCGAAACTGCGCCTATCGGTGCAGAAGACGTGGAATTTATTGTTCAAAACCAACTGACCGTTGACTTCAAAAAGAGATGCTCCACTGTGAAACCATCCATACTTATTGGTTGCGATCAACTGTGGACCCTAATTAAGTGTGATGAGCCACACATACAACTTCCATCTGGATTGCACTTAGTTCCCACCCGTCTGGGTTACATAATGACTGGAAAAATCAGCAAGTCATCACAAGTAGAGAATCTGGATGAGGAAAAAGACAAATGGGATGGTTACTGGACACTAGAGGGACAAGTGAATGTGGCAATCCTTCCTGACACACAGTCGGAAAATGACGAAAATGAGAAGTGGGACCAATACTGGTCACTAGAGTCTGCAGGGACAGAAGAGTTCTCCAACGCAGAAAAAGAGGAACAAACCGCAGCTGACCGACAAGTGTGGGAAAAATTCAATCAGACGATAGAGAAGCGAGACGACGGATACTATGTGAGACTGCCGTGGAAAAACGTGAACGTCCACTTACCAGACAACAGAGCAATAGCCCAAAATCGACTTCTATCTGTCTGGAATTCATTACAAAAGAACGAAGACTTGATGGCGCAATACAACGGAGTATTTGAAGAACAGCTAGAAAAACAAATCCTGGAAGAAGTGAATATAGCCAACGCTTCAAAAGGGTATGGGGTTCACTATATTCCCCATCAAGCAGTACTCACTCCGCAGAAATCCACCACCAAACTCCGAATCGTCTTCGATGCATCCGCACATTACAGAGGATGCCCCTCATTAAACGATGTTCTACATCGTGGTCCAGTCATACTTCCTCAGCTGTATGGTGTACTCCTCAGGTTCCGAGTCGGAAAAATAGCGATCACTTCGGATGTAGAAAAAGCATTCCTACAAGTCCGCATACATGAAGATGATCGTGACTATACTCGCTGTTTGTGGCTACACGATTACAAGTTGCCACCTACGCCAGAAAATATACGAGTATTCCGGTTCACAAGAGTAACTTTTGGGTTGAAAACATCTCCGTTTCTACTAGCCGGAACTATCCATTTCCATCTCAACACATACAAGGAAGATGTACAGCTCATGAAAGAAATCAAAGATAACCTGTATGTGGACAACCTGATCCTCACGACGGATTCAGTAGAAAATTCTCTCCACATATACTCTAGGGCAAAACAAGTTTTCAACGACTTGAACATGAACCTCCGCGAATTCGTGTCCAACAACACAGAACTGATGTCCCACATAGCAGATAAGGATAAATCAGGGGAAGTGCAACCAAAAGTGCTGGGACTCACATGGATATCATCAGCGGACCTCTTCCAGATAGAGTGTAAGCCGAAATTCCCTACAAAAATAACAAAACGATCCGTAGCAAGTACGCTGGCATCCATATATGACCCTCTTGGATGGATGTTGCCATTACTCCATCGGGCCAAAGTTTTTCTTCAGACGCTTTGGAAAGAAAGCTACGATTGGGACACGGCTCTCTCACCAAGTCACATTGACAACTGGATGCAGATATACTCCGAAATGGAGGGATTCTCAAAAACGCTACCTCGAAGTCTCTCTACGAAAAACGTGGAATGTTCCCTAGTAGCATTTTCGGACGCAAGCTTCGAAGCAATAGCCACAAGTGTCTATTTACGTACGAAAAACTCTTCCAGCCTCCTCATGGCAAGGAACAAATTACCATCCCTCAAGAACAATAAAATAACCATACCAAAGATGGAATTGGACGCTACTACATTAGCGCTGCGCCTGACAAACGCAATACTAACCCAATTGCGGGCCATATTGAAAATCCGAGACGTCTACATTTATTCGGATTCGGAAATTGTTCTAAACTGGATCAAGCGCCGGCCACTGGCAAATGTGGGAGTCAGAATATTCAACCGTCTGATGGAAATCGGAAAAATAACTCAGCACCTTCAAGACGAAGGCCTACAAGTTTATTTTGGTCACATTTCCACAGACAAAAACCCGGCAGACTGTGCAACTCGAGGTGTCAACCAGAAAGATTTGATCGACCATTTCTGGTGGACAGGGCCGTCCTTTCTACATGACCCACCTGAGACATGGACAAACAAATTTCAAATACCGGAGAACTTCGAGACTGCTGTCCACAACGATGCGGCCGAAAAAGAGAGCACAAAGCTTGCGAAGTTACCAGAAGTATACAACCAAGTTCTTGTATCGAAAAAGGATATTACAAACAAGTCCGAAAGAACAAACTTATTCTTCCGGCTTGAGAAATATTCATTGAAAAATGCTAAACGCATTGTAGCGCTTCTTCTTCGCTACATCAGAATACTAGTTCTTCGAGTCAATGCAAAGCAAAACATTACGATCCATCTATCCTCCCTTCTTGAAGAACCAAGTACCAACTCTTCCGAACTCTCAGGCATAGAGATAGCAATCGCAGGAAAAGTCCTGGTGAAACAACACCAACTTTCGACGATTAACGCTGAAATCCTTCGGGCTCTGAAACAGCTCAACATCAAGGAAGATTCAAACGGCCTACTCAGATGCTTCGGACGCTTAGGCAATAGCGATTTGGAGACAGAAACCAAAAATCCTATGCTAGTTCTACAAAATTCGTGGCTAGCTCAAGCAATTATAAGAGAATGTCACACGGATGGACATCCAGGAATAAGCCACACCATGTCCCTGGTTCGACAAAACTACTGGATTCCAAAATTACGGGCACAAGTAACACATATTGTCAGACATTGCGTACGCTGTCAACGATTTAACAATTTGCCGTACAAGTATCCGGAACAAGGCAATTTACCAGAAGAAAGAGTTCGGAGGTCTCGTCCTTTTGCCCATATCGGACTAGACTACTTTGGGCCACTCAGCATTCTCCGATGCGATGGCACAGAAGGCAAATGCTACGGATGTATAATAACCTGCATGGCCACTAGACTAGTACACCTCGACATTGTCTCAGACCTTTCTACGACAGCGTTCCTTATGATGCTTCGACGCTTCTTCTCGCGACATGGGCTACCGAAGTCCATAACTAGTGACAATGCTCCCACGTTTACACTAGGAGAGGATATTCTCAGGGAATGTGTACAGTCAATCCGAAGTGACACATCAGTGGAGAGGGCTATCACAAATAGAGAAATTGAATGGAAACATATTACGCCATTTGCTCCTTGGCAAGGTGGATTCTACGAAAGACTGATCAAAACCGTAAAACATTCGCTTTACAAGTCATTGGGACACTCCAAGCTCTCCTTTGAACACCTGTCAACTTTGATACTCGAAATCGGAGCGCTCATCAATACAAGACCGCTGGTATACATAGGATCACACTCACCGTTTGAACAGGTATTGAGGCCTATTGACTTCCTACAAAATGAATTCGAAGTGCCTTATCCACTGGATGAAGTTGACGAAGATGGAGAAGATCACACCTACTACCCAGCTGAAGAACAAGCTCTCATTAGGACTAAAAGAGAGGCTGTACAAGCTTTGCGATCATCATGCAAATTCACTGAGAAGTTCTGGCAAATCTGGAAAACGCAATATTTGCTAGCTTTACGAGAAAAGCACCAACTTGAAGTTGGCAAGAACAGGAGTTCAACACGTCTACCAAAAAAGGGTGACATTGTCCTAATTACTGAACAAGTTCAGCCACGACACTCATGGAGAATGGGGAGAATTCAGGACTTAGTAGCGAATTCTGGAGGAGTAATACGCGAAGCAGTTGTTATGCTACCATCACATCGGCAAGTACGTCGACCAATAAACCTACTAATTCCATTGGAATTGGACGAGAAAATTTCCCCTATACAAGTTCAAGAAGAACCATCTCCACGTTCTGCTCCCAGGAATGAGTTCGAATTAACTGAAGGTGGAAATACCACAAGCTCCAGAATACCAGCAAGTCGTTATAACCTTCGACCCAGAAAACAAGTAAGCAATGAAAGAACCTTAGCAAGAAGTTCTGCAACACATTCCCCTTCGCTTATAAACACACTATCCGTCTGGAGCATAATTATAGGATGCTCCTGCTCCGGCCAGTTCTCGGATCAGAACACTCAACACCTCATCCGTGAAAATGGAGAAGCTGAACTTAGTTCACCAAAATTGTACACCAACGAACTCCACGAAGACTCACAAGTTTTTCCATACAACTTTTGGTTACGGGTGAAGTACACCGACGACAATATTCGAAGCAACGTGAATATTTTCCAACAGTCTCAGCAGAAAGTGACACTACCTCTTCCAGCCTTGATAGGGCGACCAGAATCTAGTCAAGTGTTCCATCTGGCTTACAGCTCACAACTTGCAAAGTTTACTCACGCAATGGTGTCGCAACTTGTACGAACATGTTTCCATTCCAACTTCAGATCCCCATGTTACTTTGCAAAAGGCCTTTCAAATAGTATGGGGAAAGTATCCGATCTCCCCCATCTTATCCGACAGCACGGGGATAATCCACCCTATAAAACACAAGTAGCTCCAACATTTATCTACTTCGATCTATATCTATACTCTGAAATATTCCCTAATTTCAGGAGTGCTACAAGTAACATGGACGACGAACTCGCTCTGCTTGAACTCTACATGGAGGAAAAGGCGCCTACGGCAAGCTGCCTGGAGAATAGCCTCACTCTAACGATGGACGGAATCGAAAGGCAACTCGAAACTGCTGCTACCATTCGCTCCGATTGGACGCACATGAAAGGAGACGCAGAACTCAACTTCAGCAAACCTCCGGAACAAGTTATCGCATTGAGTCGAATCCTAAGAGCAGCGGAATCGGCGAAGGAAAAGATAGTGCAGCTATCTTACAAGTATTTCTTTACAAGGAAGTGGTACGAAAGACTATTCGATCCTGCTCGACGCAACAGCTGGCTCCAAATGCAGAGAAAAACAACGAACATCTCTGAAATTCTCTCAAGGAGCGACGAAGAAATCAAACGCCTTGGCATCCTGATAAGAGAAATCCAGAGGGAACTCACAAAGGCGGAAGGACAAGTGTATAATTCAAAACAATACGACCAAGCTGAAACCCATAAAAGAATGGCATTCGCGCTTCACCGTACGGTACAGCGGCAGCAAGACGAAATCACGGAGCTGAAACAGAAGATAGGAGAGCTACAAGCCATAAAGGTACAGTACGAAGAGAAGCTGAACCAGCAACAACAAGAGGAAAAAAGAGAACACACAGAAGCTGAAATATCTGACAAGGAATACTTTGAAAAAATGATTGAAGAAGTCAATGATGACGACGAGCGGATGGAGGACGTCCCCAATTTGGAAGACATTTCAAGTGACGACGAAGGCGACATCTACAGAAACGACAGCTCCGACGAAATCATAAGGATCAATCGACTACAGGAAGACCTATGGAAAATGGAAGAAGTTCTTCAAAAGTTCCCATACAGAATGATCGGAGATTCTGACGATGCGAAAAGTGGCAAACCGTGCGCCTTTTGTGGAAAGATCAACTATCATTTCTCAGACTCTTGTCCAGAGGTGGTCGACGGAAATGAAAGATACCATATTGTCAACAGTGGAAAGCTCTGCGTACGCTGCCTGGGCAACTGCCCCAGATACAAGTGCAAGTTCCAGAAGAATCCGAGGAGTTGTTGGTACTGTGATCGTATCAGAGGGACCATCGCTGAAGACCTTATTCCGGATGACGACGGCCATCACAAAGCTCTCTGCAGTGTGCCGAATTCAAGGAAACTCCTAATGGACCGGATCACATCGCTCAGGAGGGAGATCGAAGAAAGGAGAGCCAGAATCAGCGGCCGGGAGTGTCGAAAATTCGACCATTGATCACTTTTTAATGATACTTTTGTATGTTTTTTATGCCTTACTCTGTTCTGTGTTAGCTTTGAAGACTCACTTGACCTATGTTTAACTGGAATAGTTGTAGTATTCATGCAATCTGCAGACGATGGATATTGAGATATGGATTGCTGGTTTGATCTATTCGCGCCATAATTTGATCTCTGAGTGGTATATAAAGCCCGCGAGTAGGGTGCTCGAGTAGTCTTTGAAGTCTGTTGAACTGTCGCCTGTCTAACACAAGTTCTGCTTAATTGGTATTCTAATAAAAGAAGTATAAAAAATTCCCGCGTGGCACACGAGTGAGAAGAAAGAAGAAGTTCTGAAGTTTCACTACATGGTGCATCGGCACGATTAAGGATTCAGGTCGGTTTTAACTGCAATTCAGTCTGATTTTTTCTTACTTTTACTTCCACAAGTTTTCCTTTTTTTTCGAAAACAAGTGGGGTGAATCAATATTCGCTTCTCCTATCCAAGGGAAGGGTTCAGGCACCAATCAATATTCTCTGTGACAAGTGGGCACCAGCAGGGTCTGAGGTACCGGGTATCCCAAGTTTAGGCATCATGTCGTACAAGTTAGCGACTCCTAAACGTCGTGTCACGTACTATACTGGCAAATTAGAAACACTTATAACTCGTTTCAAGGCTGAAGGGTTAGAATCAGTCAAATTTCCTGAGGCAGACGGGGAACTTTCACACGTATCCGCGCGGAGTAGTCTCCAACGACTCGAAGAAGGAGTTGGAGCCATTGAAACGACAACATCAAAAATCGAGGAGAAGCTGAAGGATTATGCCGAAGAAATGGACAACTTGGTAGAACCCAGTCCGAAGGATATAGAAGATTTTGAAGGCTACTCATCGAGGGCGGAAAACGCAATAAGCATGGCCTTCGACTACACTTTACAACTCCGAGCGCGCATACAAGTCTTCCACTCCTACGATCGTCGTACGCAAGCTTCACAGAATCTTCTTACAAGAGGGAACGTAGAACGCGCCTCGAATGAGCCACCATCTTCACGTCTAACGCCGAAATCACTAGAGCTTCCCACACTTCCCATCCCAATTTTCAACGGAAACATATGGGAATGGGACAATTTCTGGGAGCTATTCAATTCCAACGTCCATTCACAGGAGCTTTCGGAACTCCACAAGTTTAATTACCTCCTAAACGCCCTCAGAGGGGAAGCTTTGGAGTCGGTGAAGAAATTCCAAGTAACAAGTGGAAACTACGAAAAAGCAGTAGACTTCTTGAAAAAGAAGTATGGAAGCTCCGAAGAGCTGGTATTTCGTCTCATGGACCAGCTGGATAACTGTTCTCTTCGTTCATCCCACATACGTGATCAGCGACGACTGTTCGAACAACTACAAGTTATAATTGCACAAGTCACGCAGAAGGATGAAAATGTAAATAGCCAATGGCTAATTAGAAAGGTATTGTCCAAGTTTCCCAACCACACTCAGCGACAAGTCCTTTTGAAAAAGCAAGCCACTTTGAAGGACGTTAACTTCACTATGAGTCACCTTCTGCAAATTCTAGAAGACGTCATTACAAGTGAGGAAATGGTTTCTCACTACATAAAGACCGAGTCCCCTTCTTATGCACTAGGGAAGGAAGACAAGCCAAAGCCGCCAAAAATTGCTTCAAGGCAGTCCTGCATGTACTGCGAAGGAAGTCACAAGTCATTCGATTGTGACAAGTACGCAACACCGCAGGAACGGTCACATTACCTACGAGAACACAAGTTGTGCTTGATATGCGCATCACCACGGCATATCACGTCTGAATGCAGGAAACGCCCCTGTTTCAAATGTCAGAAACAGCACCACACTTCATGCTGTTTCCAAGCGGAAAAAGGTGCCAAAGCATCACCAATTCAAAAAATGGCATTCGAATCCAAAGACAAC